TAGTGGTAGTGGTAGGTAGTGGTAGTAGTGTTGGTAGTAGTATCAGTAGCAGTGCTTAGTAGTAGTAGTAGTCGTCGTCGTCGTCGTGGTCGTAGTGGTAGTATATAGTAGTGGTGGTAGTAGTAGTAGTAGTAGTGGTAGTGGTAGTGGTAGTGGTAGTGGTAGTGGTAGTGGTAGTGGTAGTGCTAGTGGTAGTGGTAGTAGTGGTGGTAATATATACTAGTGGTGGTGGTAGCAGTAGTAGTAGTAGTAGTAGTAGTAGTCGTCGTAGTTGTAGTAGTAGTAGTAGTAGTAGCAGCAGCAGCAGCAGCAGCAGCAGTAGTAGAAGTAGTACTACTAGTCCTGCTGTAGAAGTCGTAGTAGGACTTAATACAAATAGAATTAGAGTCAGGAGGGTAGGATTAGGAGTAGCCGTCGGAAGAGTAGTACGTAGGAGGTGGGGGCCGTAGTGGTTTAACGTCTGCCTGTTTGGGACAAGTATTAGTACTTAGTACAAACACACGCACGAGTAGTAGCAGGGAGTGTCAGCAGCAGTAGCAGTATGTAGCAGTAGCGGTAGCACTGATGGACTGTTCATGTGGATACTGCCTGTGCGGCCAGGAGGCACCACAGCCATCCGCAGCCGCAGAGGAGCTAGATGAGGTCACGTTGCCGCATGAAGTTTGAGTTGGGCTGTGGGGTTCAGTCTTGAGTGGTCAGTAGCAATCTTGCGAGTATCTAGGGGCAACAGAAACTTTGACTATGATGATGGTATGATGATGATTGTGATAAGGACGGCGACGGCATTAAGGGTGATGAGATGAGGATGGCGACTTTACCCATGCTGCTCATGCTGTTGAGAATAATGGTGATGGTACTGGTGGTGGCGATACTGATGATGCATGATGGTGTTGATGATGATTATGATGGCGATGCTGACGATGACCACGATGATGACGTTCGTGACGGTGATGATGACGATGCTCACGATGATGGTGATGATGATGACGATGATGAGGATGACGGTCAACATCACGATCATGGTGTGTTTGCAGCTCAACAATAGAGTTCTGGAGTGTAAATAGCAGCATGTCAGCGGAGAACTATGCAAATGAATGCAACAATGACTGACTAACTCAATGAAAGGAAGAAAGAATGAAGGAGCGAATGGATGAATGCATCAATCAAGGCATGCGTGAATGAATTAATTCATGAATGAACTAATGAATCAGCGAATGAGCGACCGAGCGAACGAAGCAACAAAGGAGCGACTTCGATGTGGCGATGCCAGTGACGACCATGGCATTGATGACTATGTTGACGGTGATGTGTATAGTGGTGGTAGTGTAGCTCATGCCCATCATGGTGACAGCGACACTACTGAATTTCTGCAATGATAGCGACAGGAATGCCATGATCACGGCGATTATAGTGATCTGATGATGGCAATGGTAATCTATTTATTGTGAGGTTGTTAATGGCGATGTTTTCTCAAGGGCAGCTATGACAACGACAACGACGGTGACACTCTTGAAGGCGATGTTAGCCTTGCGCAACGAGAGTAGCGATAGTGATACTTATCATTGTGAAGGTTATGACGTTGGTTGTGACGATGAGGCTATGGGTAGTGATAATCATGGTAGTCGTGAAATGGGTGATACCAGTGATGGTGACGAGAAGTATGAAGCGCTGGTATTGGTAATTGTGGCCGCTTACACAGGATCCTTGAGAGTCTGACTTCTGCCCCGAAAGGTTAAAGAGGATGATGCTAATCACGGCCTTTGCGGTAGCAATGGCGATGCCGACGACACTGTTATCATGTCGAGAAGGTTGGTAATGAAAGTAGGGGCAGTACGCATCGTACGATGACGATGTTGCCCACAGTGGTGATATCGTCGACCCTGGCGATATTATTGGCGACGACGACGTTCACCATCCTACTGATCAAAATCATTGATAATGGCCAGAAGCGATGGCCATGAGTATCGAGACGGCAGTGTGCTGTGATTGATGATGATGGTGGCAATGCTAGTGATCCCAAGCAAACACAAGACTATCAGAACAGCAGTGTTGGTGGCAATGTTGCTGCTGCTCCTGACGATGTTGCCAATCCTGATCTTCAGCATCCTTGTTTTTCGCGCCCTCAGATTCTTTCCTCATCCTCCTCCTCATCATCATCGCCATCTTGCGTCTTCGTCGTTATCGTCTCCCACGTCTGCATCCGCAGTTCGACAATCCCACCACCACCACCACCATCATCACCACCACCATCATCATCATCATCGTCATCAGCCGTCCATCAGAAGTACTATCAGTACTATCATCAAAGTTGAGATCAGCACCACTACCGCCATCAACGCCTTCAGCATCTTATCATGATGGCGATGATGCTGGTGGTGAGGATGACGGTTGTTCTCACACGCACAGGACATGACACTGGTTTTTTATACTTGTTGTCATGTTCTGGAGTGCAGAAACGACTTTGTCTGCTCTCACAGCCCATAGTTCCACGTGATCCACTTCTGTTCTCAGCATCAGAATAGCCTCTGAGGAGGACGGCTGGACCGTTGCAAAGCCAACCCGGAAGGTCGACAGAGGGGGCTGCTGAACAAAGGCTGGAGGTTGTAAGGTCCAGAGAAGGAATTGAAGCCTGCGGTTCACGTTCTGGTCGCACTTTTGCTGCAACCCTCAGTGGTTGCTTTCAAAGTCATGGGTATTTTTTAGGGTTTAAGCTGAGTCTGTGATTGGCGCGGGCCAGGACAGGACGGTATATGGTTGATATCATCATCACGACTGCCGCGGTTGGTACCGTTGTTTTGCTGATGATTGATGTTGCTATTACCACTATCATCTTCATTGCCGCATTCATTATCACCCTTGTTTGACCTTCGTGCTCGCATGGATTGCCAGGCTGACCGCAAGAGCAGAGCTGCAGCAGCCCCAGGTGTAGCCCTGCGGGGCAGTGCCATTAAACCTTAAGCTTTAAGCCTTTGTTCTGGTATGTTCTGTTCCCAACCAACCCTTGGCAATCTGACCTGAGTTGTGGGACCACTTGCTGTTGCCAAACAGATCTGTGATTTGTATGTATTTGCATCAGACGATCACAGGTAAGTCATCCGAAGGACCTAAAGCCAGAAAAAGAAGTTCTCCTTCTTTGGTATTCGACCAAGGCTGAGGTGAAGTCGAGCACAAACCGATCTGCAAAGGCAAGAGCCTCGCCATGCCGTACACAGTTCTGTCAGAGGTCATGTTAACTTCGTCGCCTCGGTGTCCGTCTGCGCAGTGAAGAAAATCTTCGGTGTTTGTTCATTCGGTCGTCAGTTGAAACTTGCTTCATCTCGACTCCCAGATGCTCAAGACCTTGAGCAGCTCCGCAAAAGTAGCTCAGCTGTGGCGTCTTTGTCGTTCGAGATTTTCCGCGCACGTGTGCTCAACCCGGCTCCCGAGCACTCTGAGCTTGCAACCTCCAGGTGTCTCGCATGGGCGCATGGGCTGTGACTTTCGCCTTAAGCCCTAACGGATGTCCTGCAAGGCAGACAGGGAGCCCAGGGAGCAGAGGGAGCCCCGGGAGCACCGAGAGCCTCCCGCGAAAGTCGAGGCATTTCCCAAGCAAGTCCTGCAAACTTTCTGCTGTGAATTCTCTGTCTGCCGACCAAGATGCTTGTCCGACCTTAGACGTCCCAGAATTATCCTGCAACAAGACGCAGTGAATACCGGAATGCCCTGGCCCCCCTGTCTTTGAGCTTTGGCCAGAAGACTCCTCCACGGGCCCCCGAACTGGCGCCCAAAGTGCCGGAGACCTTCGAGGAGAAGGCGGAAACCCCCCTTTGAGTAGCTTTCCTTGGCAGCTTCGGAGGGACGCTTCCGTTTGGACTCAGGGATGAGAGGCACCCGCGCGGGGGGCTTGAAGAACCGCTTTCCACGAGTGTTGTTTCGAGATCACAGGAACAGGAACCAGGCCCTCCAGCCTTGACGGTCTAAAATTTTGCTAGCAAAAATGCATACGACTACACTCTGTATCGCAGTTTAACCGATCCACACCTCCAGGTCAAAGATGTGCCGGTCAAGCCCGAGAAGGCCGAAAGGACCGAGAAGGCAGGGAACTCGGGGCCGAGAGGTTGGGGTTCGAGTGCGTTTCTGTGGGGTCATCATCGTGACCGTTTGCATTATCGCAGTCATGACAGAGACGAACTACAGCATCGGGTGGAAGGCACGTTTGCCCTGATTATCAAGCCGAGAAGATTGATGTACGGTTTTGCAAGCAGCAGCAACAATAATAGGACGGGCAGCTAAGGAACGAACCAATATCCAGAAGTGTTGTGTTCGACATTTTAGCTTGAATAGTATACACAATCAGGATCACGGACTCGTGAACCAATTCAGCCACACCATAGTAGTAACAACACTAACCATCACCACCATCATCATCGCCCACACACCATCACCATCACGATCATCATCATCATCATCGTCATCATCATCATCATCGTCGTCGTCGTCGTCATCGTCGTCGTCATCGTCCGCGTCCGCGTCATCGTCGTCGTCCTCCTCCTCCTCATCCTCCCCACCACTATCATCATCATCATCGTCATCAACATCACCATCATCATCACAATCATCATCGTTCTCATCATCATCATCACCATCGTCATCATCGTCATCATCATCATCGTCATCATCATCGTCATCATCATCGTCTTCATCATCGTCATCATCGTCATCACGATCGTGATCGTCATCGTGATAATCGTCGTCACCCTCGTCCTCTTTCTCGCGACATCATCGGCACCGTTATCTCATATCATCTCCGTGCTCCTCTTTGTCGTCCTAGCTAACGTCGTTGCCAAATTGGAGCTTGGCGATTCGGGCTGCGGGACCCGAAAGGCCGCGCCGAAGAAGCGCGGTGGGAAGGTGGCATCCCCAGCGACGCAAAAAGATTGCCTTCTTGGTTGTAGAGGTTCGAAGCTCTTAGCAAGGGCATGTTCAAGGGTCTCGGATTCAATGTTCCGGGTTGGTTAGCAAGCTTGAGATAGAAGTGATCTTTCGGAGTAGATGTGATGCTCAGGTAGGTTGGACTATGCAGCTTTGCGGGTTGGGTGGGTTCGTGATTGGAGTGGTTATGTAGTGCCACCACCAACGATCCGTTTCATGATGGCATCTTACGAAAAGTGCACGTAGACTGCTGAAGAGATGCACTTTTTCCTCTGCCCTCTCAGCCTCAAGTGCAAACCGGTCAACGCCCTGGTACATCACGCACGAATACCAAAAATCCCGGAGCCTTTTTTGATCCCCTTGTTCCGAAGGAAGGCATGTCGAAAGACTACAGGGTGTCGAAAGACTACAGGTCATCCAACTTCCATCATCCGTTAAGCTCAAAGCTGCTTGGGTCCTAGCACATAGAGCCACAACCAAAGCCACCAAAGCCCCAGGCTCCTCTTATCCAGTTTTCGTAAGCAACAGTTCCACTGCGAATGATTCTATGCTGACAGTTGTCATCCATCGCTAATTGGCTACTATACCTCTTTGATTACAGCTGATTTAACGATTGCAGAAAGAAGTCATGGCGTGAGCACTTGTGTTTGCTGCAGTGCCAGTTGATTGTAGACCCGCCTGGCTACGATGCCCTCGCCCTATGACCCTCCGACAGCCTCAGTCAAGAGGCCTGGGCCGACATACCGCCTGAGGCCAGGAATAGCCATGTTGATGAAGATAACGCTGATGATGTGGATGAGGACGCAGGATAGCGAAGAAGGAGGTCCAGGTAAGTCGTCGCAAGATGATGGCTCTCACTCTTCATTCTGTCCAAAACCGATGCTGGGCAACTGCCTTCCACCATAATATTCGGCGTGAATTCGAAGTCTTGTGGTTCGTCGTTGACATTGTGCTGTACTGCTGTTGTTGCTGTCGTCATTGTTGTTCCTCTCGTTGCTTCCATTCATGAGTGTAGTGATGATGAGGATAAGGTGACGGATGAGGATGAGGATGACGACTGCGACGACAGCCATGGCGGCGAATGATGGTGATGAATGTCATGGTGGTCATGATAATGTTGATGGTGGTCATGGTGATGGTGGTGTTGATACTGGTGCTGATGGTGACATTGAGGATGATGGTTCGTTTCAGGTAGTGGTGGTTGGTTGATCAGTGGCGGTGTTATGGTGGTTCGTGTTGGCAGTGGCAGTAGAGCTGGACATCGATGTAGAAGTAGAAGTAGAAGCTGAAGATTGCATGCATGCGTATGTATTGTTCGTGCATTTAGTCAGCATGTTTGTTTAGTTGTTAGTCTGGCTGTGTGTCTGTTCCAAAAAGGTACGGGCATGCGTAGGTACCAATGCTACATGAGTTCAGATGTACGCAACCTTCAGCGAGGATGGTGGCAAAATCAGAAGATGCAGATGGTGCGGATGAGCAAGATGATGATGCTGATTTTCATGACGACGATGATGTCGAAGGTGATCGTGGTCACCATCATGAGGACTTTTGTTTCCGAAGCCCCCGTTCATCGAGCCTGCCTCCAGGGCACTCCGCCGCCCTCGCCGCAACCGGCAGAGGTGACAGTGTCAGTCTGCCCCTCGGGCTCCGAGCGTTTCCAAGTGGATGTACCGTTTCAGCAGTGTTTGAGTGGCCTGGACCGGAGCCATCAAACTAAGCTGTACCCCAAGCGAAAACTCTCAATCCGAAGCACTCAACCCCGAACTCCACAAAGTGCTGTTTGAGCAAGCTTGGCCCCAGGCGAAGCCTGCATTGCCCGAGACGACTGGCGAGCCGGAGTCAGGGATGATGTCTCGTTCCCAGCGATGAACAGTATTGAACAGTAGTACAGATGAGCTCATAAATCCGAACAGTCACAAGTAAACAAAAAAGACTACGACGACGACGACAACAAGTACTACTACTACTACTCCTACTACTACTACTACTACTACTACTACGACAACAAGTACTACTACTACTGCTACTACTACTACTACTACTGCTACTACTGCCACTACTGCTGCTGCTACTACTGCTGTTAATACTAGTACTAGTACTACTACTACTACTACGACGACTACTACTACTACGACGACTACTACGACTACTACGACTACTACTGCTGCTACTACTTTTTCTACTACTACGACTACTACGACGACGATGTCTCCTGCTACTACTACGACCCTGACCCCACCACGAACTACTCATGAGAATCAAAGAGTACCTGGGATAGAAATTCAACACGAAAGATGCGGACACCACGGACATGATGAATCGAAACAGTACTTTCAGCTTCGTGTGATCAAACCTTGCAGCACGGTTTCTTGATTCCGAGCAGGGGACACTCGGCAATGATCTTCGAGCCCAGCAAATGTTAGGGTGGTTGCATCATGTGCCCTTCCAGCTGCAGGATTTTTGAGAACCGACGACTGATTAAAGCTTGCACTCTGACACAGCATGCCATTGATCTGACACGGAAGCGCAAGCAGCATGCTCTTTGCGCGAAGACATGCCAAGCCCTGAACTGTTTAATGCCATTTGCATCTCCAGCCACATAACATAAGTTAAGCAGTGTGGCCCACTAGGATTGAACCCTCCACATGTACCACACCAACGGAACTCAGATAAGAAGCAGCTTCTGGACATGCTCCGAGGCCCATAAGCGAGAAGACAGCTGACGACCCCGATGCACTGAACTTACCTGATTCATGGGTTCACGGTGGCTACCACAACCACCCAAACTCCCCCAACCACTGATCTAAACGCCTGGGGCCTCCGGCCTCGGCGGACTCGTATTGGGTTCAGACTTGTCGACGCGTCCCCAATGCGCCACTCTCCTCACCGGCAGGCTTACGGCTTTAAGTTCGAGGGTTCAAGATTGCAGGTCATGTTTCCATGATTTTAAACGGCCTCTAGCTGTTGAGGTGTTTTCGTGCCGATGTCCTGCCTCAAGATGCTGATAGGAAGTTGACCTGCGTCATATAATCACGTGTTGCAATCGGTTCAGCGTCATGTTCGTCCGTGCGCATGCTCGCTCATGTCATGATGCTCTGCTGCGGCATGAGTATGGTCTTCTGTCGCGGGCACGTGGGCTTCAGGCTCCCTGCATTCCGCAACCCAAGAAGCCGTGAAGTGTTTTTTAAACATGAACGGCAGGCAAGGCACCAACTTACCAAGCACAACTAAAGAAGTGTAGCTCTTTGTTGCTAGAGTCTGACGCAACCTTTAACAATTTCACGGATGAGGATGGGTTTGAGTTCCTCGTCGGCAAGAAGCGGAAGCCCAAAGCGCGGGCAGCCGAGGCCGCACTCTCTGGGATGTAGGCTCCAGTCGGGCTTCAAATTTAAAGGCTTAAGACTCAGGCCTTTGAGGCTCACGCTCTTTGGAAAGCGCAGGGCCCTGTTGGACTGGATTCATGAAGTCATTCGCTGCATGTTCAGTTGCACCTGTTGGTGCTGCCTTCGCTTATTCCGGGAAACGCCAAACTGCAAAAAGACGTTGCTCGTGGTCCCTGTGCTGCCGTGCTCTTCTCCATGTCCATGCTATGAAACATGCGTCGACCACGCCTGGCTCGCACTCGAAAGTTGATGCTCGGATTTCCGGCCTTGCCATGTCATTTCTTTGTAGGGCAGACTCGCGCATCTGCTCATTGTCAACCACACCTGCTGCGACGAGCTGCTCAGGCGCGGACGTCTCGAAGCGGCAGCCGGCCGCTGAGCTTGGGACGTCGGACTCAGCTCGGGTGGAATCTCATTGCATTAGAGAACAGAAGCATCTTCTTTCCGTTCTTTTCTTTAAATGAAAGGAGAAGCTGTCTGTCCATTGTTTTGAAATGCGGTTGAGGAGTGCAACAAGACAATCGTGCAGCGTGCCCCACACGTTCGTTTCCCGCCATGGACTATCGATGGAACAATCGAGGTTCGTAAATTCGTGACTTCTAATGGAAGAGTGACCATGCCTGTTCGACATATGATTGATTTCTGGGCCAGTTCTTTAGATCAGGTCTTTAGAAGATCTGCTTTCTTCGGAGCCATGTAACACCCCGAAACACCGACAGGATGAATGCAATGTGACACAGATCAAACCCAGGTACCCGGGTACCCCCTCCATCAAACTCAGGTGACAGTGCTGCCGATAGTCTGGGCAGACCAGCAGCAGCTCCGGCGGCAGCGCCGCCAGCCGAAGCAACAGCGGCCGAGCCAGCAACGCCGGCGCCAGAGGCTCTTGTGCTCTGCAGTCTGATGGTTCTGCTCAGAGAGGGTGCCTTCCGGAGGAGAAGGGAAATATGAGCCGTATTGGTAGCTGCGAGTGGCAGCCAAAGCGAAGTCCTGAAGAAAGTTCCCCTCCGCTGGGCTCTGACGAGGCGCCTTCGGCGGTGAAGGAGACCCCTGCGGCGCCCGGTGCTTGGGGCGCTGGTCGCCGAGGTGGCAGCAGGTTCTCTAAGGTACAAGGGAAAGTCGAACCCCGGAAGGCCAATCACGCCATCTAGGGGCACGATTATTGTGTGTGGAAGCGCATGCAGACAGTATTTTAATGCACCGGAAGCGAAGCAGCTTGTAGAAAGTGCAGCAGCCTGTCGAAACCTTGGCGCTGGCTGTCGCGGTCTTGATCACGCTTGCTGTGGGTATATAAACACTCCAAAACAATTACAGTGACGCCATCATCTCATAGGTACTTGGCTGTTATCAGGTATATCTTGTCATGCCAGTCTCTCTGCCTTCCAAGTCAAAGGGGTTCATGCTCCGAGGCCGGTCGCGGAAGATGCGAAAGGCGGGGGCGTAGCAGCTTACTGCTACGAAGGCAGCAGCCTCTAAGAAAAGACATGGAGCGGACGAATGCTATGGTAGTGAACACACGCGAATGCCGAACCGGGGTAATTACCATGATTGTTGGAATTCGGTGTGGACCCCGCTGTCCTAGGTCCTGCGTACGATGCAAAAGAGTGAGCACTGCCGCTGCATTCCACCCCAATAGCTCCGGTCAGGCCCCGACGAGCCTGTGCAGGACAGCGGTCTGAGGGTGACTTAAGGTCAGATCTCTGACTTCTTTCTCCCCGAGCATTTTTTGGGGTTTTCTTGAAATGCTACGAATGTCCTTTGCGGACCTCCGGAATCACTCGTTCCTTTGTCTGCAGTGCATGATCTTCGCTGTCTGCAGCCAAATCTTAAAGTCCTCCGCACCTATTCCCGAAAGGAGGAGAAGGAGAAGGCGTCGCAACCTGCTTCGACCTTGTCGCTGGAGCCCAAACCGTGGATGGTCAATCTCTGGCCTGGGGCGTCGGGTGCGTGCACGTGTGCGCATGTGCATGTGTTTGTGTGTGTGTGTGCGTGCGTGTGTGTCTTGTGTGTCTGTGTGTGCGCGAGGTTTTGATGACAACTAGTAACTAGATTTAATTTGTGAGTTGTGTTTCTTTCGGTAAATGCCGAGGCCGCTTGAGAAGGAGGTGATGCGGATGGAGAAGAAGAGCCGCGAGGCTTCCAGCCGTCTGTTGCGATCTGGCGACAGTGTGGACCGCTTTCAAATCCCGCCACCGCCAAGCGACCTCCGAAATGGCAGCCGGCTTGGTGACGCCAAGGCTCTCCATACACCGTAAACTTCCGAAGCCCAGAGCAGTCAAAAACACGCTGGACGGACGGCTTACCGGTTGGTCTGTTTTGACGTTTCGGGATCTGTTGTAGATTTTGGTCCCGTATGATGTATGTCAATGTATGTATGTAATGTGTGTATGTAAGTAAGTAAGTATGTATGTAAGTATGTAAGTAAGTATATGCATATGTAAGCATGCAAGTATGTGAGTAAGTAAGTGTGTATGTATGTATGTATGTATGTATGTATGTAGGTAGGTAGGTAGGTAGGTAGGTAGGTATGTATGTATGCATGTCTGTGTGTATGTATGTAGTGTATGTAGTCTATGCAGCATAATGTATGTATGTATGTATGTATGTATGTATGTATGTATGTATGTATGTAGTGTATTGTAGTGTATTGTAGTGTATTGTAGTGTATGGTATATGGTATTGTATTGTATCGTGTTTTGTTGTTTTTTGTGTGGCATTGCATTGCACCGCACTGCGCTGCGTTGGATTCTATTCTATTGTATTGTATTGCACTGTGCCGTATTGTATTGTCTTGCATTGTATTGTATGCTTGTTCGTACATGCACATGTATGCATGTACGTAGATTACGTTTGTGTGTATGTATATCTGGATGGATGGATGGCTGGGATAGATGCACATGCTGCATGTAACCCTTGACCCTTTCCTTTCGCACAAAATCATGGCAATGTTCACTACCAGCGCAGGAATCTAAATCTTAACGCCTGTGCTGAGCAGATCAACTATGGTTAGTTGCTTCTGGTCACAGTGTTCACACCCATCAGAACAGATGCAAGTCAATTTCAGGACAAGCCCTCATGCGATGCGCGCTTATCGGCCCATCATCCATGTTGCACTTAAATGCGAGCCCACTTACAGTTCATAAGAACGCATATGCCGATGTAACTGTACAATGCGTATTTTCCTTATATACTTTAGAACTATCCAGAATATCTCCAAGAATGTTTTCCATAGTGTTTGTATTGCATGCAACATTTCTGAGACTCTGACTTGAAGCCCCACTTTGCATATCCAGAACATTTCCTATATGGTCCAAATGCCAACAGTAGCATTTCAGACCCGGTAGTTCCCACAAAACCCATTCAGTCCTGAAAGCACACATTTCTGTAACCCGGCTACGAATGCCAATCTTATTTGCTGAAGCCAATGCAAGTCCTTACCATCCAGTCCACCATGCATGCCCTCAGCAGTTTGTTTCGAAGTTGTTTCATGTATGGTTTCCAGTATCATGGATGGATGTGCCACGTTTTGGTCCCGGTGAGTCGTTAGACGTTCGACCTAGGACTTACAAGCAGGTAGGCAGGTATTTAGAATCTGCTCCAAAATCCTAAATATTCAAACCTGTTTACCAATCTGAACTGCACAGGTCCCAGCAAATTTCATAGCCCTGATGCAGTGCATAGTGCATATCCTTACACTCATTATCCAGGCTCCTACATTCCCTGTTTATCGGGGCGTCGCGAGGAGCCCGAATTAGTTTGCTGCACAACGCCGTAAATCCCGAGCAGCTGGATGCTAAAGCTTTTTCGTCACCCATGATCACCCTTGTTTTGCGACATTGACAGATACAATCATTTCAGAGGGTTCTTGTGCATCTCATAGATGCTGACCGTACTTACATGTCGAGAAAGACCCACGTCCACACAGTAATCAGCAAGGGCGTAGCATGTTGTGGGTTACCTTGTGCTGAGGACGCATTTGATGTCTTGTTTTTGCCTGTTTCTTTTGCGCGCCCGAAAATCATTCAAAGGAGTGAGATTGCTTCTGCCTGCCTCTAGCAACTCTGACCAGCTTATAGAGAACCTCGCAGGTCGAGAAGCTCAAGCAGAAACACGAAAACGGTGAGGACAGGCCATAGGTTTGCGGTTGCGGGTAATTGCGGTGCAGGGAGGAGTGAGGGGTCGCATTGTTCCCTAATCCACAGATTCCGAAACACCTGCAGACCTTTGGGAGATGGCGCATATTGTCGGAATCTCCAATGCCGTGTCGAGGAGCTGGACACCTTGCAGATGGAAAAGCTGCAGAAAGGTCCAGAAATTGCGTGTAGCACTCAGGTGCGTATCAGTCACAGTGATATTGTCTGGAGACGCACATGAGAAGAATTGGAATGTTCGAGCTTCACATCGCCCAGGCGGAAACTTGCAGAGCTGCAACTCAAGAAGGCAAGCACGGCTGCATGCTGTGTGCCAATATGTGCCCCTTTACCATCAAGCTCTGGCATTCCGGGCCTTCTGGGCTTCTGGGTACATATAGATTTTTCTGAGCTCCTTGTGCCGGCATCCTCTGCAGACGATAGTCTGAGTGTTACTCGTCCTGTTCTTTCTTCGTGGCATGGATATGGCTCAATCGGTACCAGTTCTAGTTGCCGCTGCTGTCATTGCTGTTGCTGCTCCTGCTGCCATCATCATGACCATGCTTGCAGTCCATATTATTCACTAGCATGATCTCCGCTACACTTCTGCCTCATCCACGGCGGGAGGTTTGCTTTATGTGAGTCTTGCGTCCAGGTGTTGTGGTTTCGAGCGTAGCATTAGCAGCCGAAGCAAGCGCACGGGCTCTATAATATGCTAATGCTGTTGACATAGGTTCCATTTCAGTAATGTCGCCCTGTTTCCGAGAGGTTTCGACCACTGATTCTCTTGTGTTCTCCATGGCTTGCCAATTTGATACCAGACGAATTCGAGCATTCTTGTACTGCCTTCACTTTCAAGTTCTTCCAATCATTCCGGGTCGAGAGCAACAAGTTCTTACATGTCTCGAGGCGCTGCAGAGCGCGACCACCTTCAGCGAGCGCCAGGATTGACAGCCAGTATCCGGGATGCTTGCAGCCACTTCAGCGGTATCTGTCGGACTGTTGGACGTGTGTGTGGCTGCCCGTCTCCCAAATCATCCCGAATCCGTGCCTTGGTTATCATCATAGTTATGAGTGTCAGTGTTGCAGTACGGCTGCTGTTGTTGTAGTGTCTACTTGCTGATAACAATTATTGCTAACTCAAGCATTGCGAATGCTGCCACGGCTACGGGTCCTGTGATCGCTGCTACTGATACGGAAGCTAAGCTTCCACGTTCCACGTTTTTGATGCTGATACTTTTGCTGAGTGGCACTACTGCCTGCTGTCAGTGCTTCTGCTGCTGTGACCGCTGCTGCTGCGCTTACTGCAGTCCTGCTTCTACTGTCTCGCCATCGCTGCTAATTTGTTGCCGCTGCAACCGCAAATGCTGCTGCTTGCCTTCCTTGTACTAGGACCACCGACAAGAGCAGCTTGTGCTGACCAAGCTGGCAAGTCAACGAATATCGACCCAACAGCTATCGTCGACATTGTTGCTTCAGCCTGATTTGCTTTCTGCAGGACACGGGAAGCCCTGAGCCCTGGGACAATCTTCAGGAGAGGGCCGTGGGCACGGGCTTTGGCACCTCCATGGGCCACAGCGCCTAAATGCTCAACGCGTGCAGGAGGTTGACGGGGTGATTTGGATCTGTGACTCTTGAGCCGCGCCAAATCAAAGTGTGTTACGACATGAGGAGATGCAGAAGCCGCCCACGGAGGCCGCGCCGTTGCAGTTATCCATGATGTGTTTG